CCTCTCAAAATCTCATATTTTATTATCTTGCTGTTTTATTATTATTATTATTATTATTATTAGTTCTTGAATTATTAGTTTTGTTTTTTCCTAGGACAAACGCATGTTGGTCCTTTTGTTCCCCCAAGGAACAACCCCTTACCCAACCCTTCTGCTTGCTTGCTTGCTATTCTATATTATTATCCTTTTTTTCACCGATTCTTGAACGTACAACACTCTAAAGCTGGGATGTACAACATCCTCAGCGTGGAGTACTACTCGCTGCGTCTCGTTTGATTGCTTTGGTGGGGGGATTTGAAAAAATGGCCAAGCGGCAGCAGAGGGAGGAGGGAACAACTTCCCTTGACGACAGGCGTCCCAGGAAAACACCCTCTTTTAAAAGGTTGAATCTTGTTGTCTGAAGATGGGTGGTATTGTCTGTTCAAAGTTTGTATTTTTTTTTTTCTATCTTTTTTGTTTGTCAAATGAAAGTGATTTTCTCTGGATATGTAAATTCTGTTAATCGGGCTGGATTGTATAAGAATAGGAATGTGCTTTTGAAAACTTCAATTGTTTGATTGGACTTTGGAGGACAATTTAAGGTAAAAAGGGGGTATGAAGCTATTCTGTTCATCGTTGTTTTCGGAGATATACTAGAAATGAGAAATTCACATATGGGAGTGTTTGCAAGCTGTTGAGTAGGAAAAGATGATTCTTGGCTTCAAGCTATAAAAAACACACACATTTTTTCAGTGAAAAGTTGAAAACAGTTTGGATGTTTGTATCCTTTTTCTGTTATTTATGTATTTGCTTTAGGGATTGAAGACACTTAGGTAGGATGACACTAGAATAGAAGCAAATTGTTGTCTCAAGAGTACTTCTCAACTTGCATTTATGAAATACTACTTTTCTCTTGTACGGACTGTACTAAATAAGTTGTTTGAACTTGTGAATTTGGCTGTATTTTTTGGGGAAGTTTTAGCATTCTGGTAATTTACTGATTATTCCGTGCTTTTTCAGTGTGGTGCTGCAAGTAATGAGCCTGTGCAAACTGCAAAATCTCATGGAGCCGGTTTTGGAACCTCTGATTCGTAGAGTAGTAAGTCATATGTAGTGTATAGAAGTGTTTAGCTATTTTATTTGATTGTGTTGTAAATATTTGCAATAAGTAGCTCCTTTTTCAATTTGAATAATCACTTCAGAATTAAGTAACTGGATTTCTTCTGGCATTCATTCTCGGAATCTCCTCCTCTTGGTTTCGTAAGTAACTTCAGATTCTGGGTTAGAATCCTTTTTGTTAGGCCATCTCTAGATCTGCTATAATGATGGAAGATGCTATGCATTTCGTAGCACACCTTTGGTATAAGTTTAATATTTGTTCATGTGTGACGGTGGGAAATTAATAACTTTGGCCTTGTCATGAATTTGTTTACAAATTTCCGTAGGATCAACTTCTTCCTTTTTTCCCACAAGTACACACTTCTCTATAAGACTTCTTTGTTTGAAATCTTGGCAAAAGTTATGAATTCATCATTTTATCAACTTAAAATAACAAAAAGTTGACAAGTTAACAATATTGAAAAGTAAGTATGATGCTCCAGAATGTCCGTATAATATTTTTATATTTTAATATGGAACTATAGAAAAGTTCTTGAAGAGGTACCTCGTAAGTTGCTATACATCTCTAATCAAATGTTTTTGGTTCTTTTTTTCTTCTTACTGTGTGTCTGCAAGAAAAGCTTTAGCTGAATTTTTTTGCAAGTTGTATGTTTGCTGAGAGATGTATGATCGTATCTCAGGTGAAAGAGGAAGTGGACACAGCATTAAGAAAATATATCATCAGCATGAAACGGTATGTCACCTGAGTTTCTACTTCACGCAACACAACTATTAATATACAACGCCATTATTAAAAAATTCGCAACTTTTTCCATGTTTTTTTTTTAAAAAAAAATTATAGGAATTGTGGGAAAGATATACAGCACTCTGAATCGATGAGTCTACAGTTACAATTCTTGAATGCTATATCCCTTCCCGTTTTTACTGGAACTCGTATTGAAGGAGAAGGAGGCACGAATCTCGAAGTTGCTTTAATCGATTCTGTTAGCGGGCAAGTTGTTTCGAGCGGTCTCGGTTCTTCTGCGAAGGTGGAGATTTTGGTTCTTGAAGGCGATTTTGACGCCGAAGAGAAACAAAATTGGACACTTGAAGAGTTCAAAAATAATACGGTGAGAGAGCGTGAAGGGAAAAAACCACTCCTTAGTGGGGATGTAAATTTGACCCTTAATGACGGTATGGGATCAGTAGGGAATATTATGTTCACAGACAATTCGAGCTGGACAAGAAGTCGTAAGTTTAGGCTCGGGGCTCGAATTTTGGACAATCTTGGTGAGATCAGAGTCAGAGAGGCAAGATCCGAGCCGTTTATTGTCCGAGATCATCGTGGAGAATGTGAGTTCATTTTATTAAATTCAATTCTTGCATAGTCTTGATAATTTCCTTATTTCCTATTGAGATTTTATGTAAAGCAGTTCATTTTATTTATTGAAATGAAATAAAATCCTTTAGTGTACAAAAAGCATCACCCTCCAGTTCTTGGCGATGAGGTATGGCGTCTGGAAAAAATCGGCAAAGATGGCGCTTTTCACAGACGGTTGAGGAAAGAAAGGATAAATACCGTGCAAGACTTCCTTATGTTATTCTTCTTAGACCCCACAAGGCTTCGGAACGTAAGATATGACTTAACTTTTTTTAGCTGTTCATTATCTTAAAATTCCGTTACAACTGAATTTATAATATCCGAAGGATTTGTATCAATTGCTGCAGATCCTTGGGACAGGTATGTCTGCTAAAATGTGGGAGATTACAGTGGATCATGCTCAAACTTGTGTACTCGACAAGAAATTATACTCTTATGGCAACTTGGAAGCAAAAGGAGTCGTTTTTAACGTTGTTGGGCAAGTGATTGGGGTTTTCTCAAACGGCCAATATGTACCTTTTGATAAGCTGTCTGAACCCGAAAAGGCAAGCCTTTGCTGCTTTTAATTTGCTCCCATCAGATTTACTTGCATCATTTTCTTGTTTTTACTCGGAAGTCGGAACTGAAATTTTTTTGACTGAGGTATTACAAAGAATTGCTTGTGCTTGGGATTTTATATTAACTCGGCAAGTAGCACCTACTCTTGCTTGATTCGAGAGTTTAGAAGTTCAGTTTAAGCTTTTGCACACTTCCCACTCCCTAAGAAGAGCATGCAAGTAGTAAAAAATTAAAACGAAATTTGTGGGGCTATTAGTAAATTTGAAATATGGTTCGGTTCTTCTATAATTAGACTTAACCCTTAGGACAATCCCCCTCTATATATAATTTCAAAACGGTATGAGCCTAAATGGCAGCTTCGCACGCTTCGTAATCTTATGATGTAAAATATTATGCTTTGTAATGACTCAGATAAAAATTACTATTTTTTTTTATACCAAATAGCTTAGATTTGGATTGTACTATATACACACATTTAATATATTTAAACTATTCCATATAAATCTATTTATTATCTTCTTCTTTTTATAATGTGCATATATTATCGTACTTCCCAAATTTTGTGTTTTGTCCATATTATTCTCTTATGTGTTTCCAGTAATATTATAAATAAAACTAATGATGTACAATCAGTTTTCAGAATTTAAAATAACATTGTTAATTTACTTAGTTCTTTCGTTATATATTGTTCCTTATTTCTTTTTCTAGGTTGAAGCCCGAGAGTTGGTTATGGCTGCATTCGGTGATCGTGAGAAAGTAGTCACTTTAGACGAAGAGCCCTCCCGAGATATTCACACCTCATCATCAGGCTTATCCATTCACCAACCTCCCGATTTTCCGTCAGCTGTCACTCACCACGAGGATTTAGCTTCTCACCAGATTGGCCCATCGACCTACTTGGAACAACAAACTCCATCTTTTCCGGACTATGTCCAATCGGTCTTCGACGACTGCTTGCAAGGTATGGACCCTATCGTGGGCCTAAGGCCCGATCAACATATGGGCTACACTGAGTCGATTGACGGAGGTTTTTTCTCAAACGAGCACATGCAGTACTTTGAGGCCGATTTTACCCTCCCGAGCGATATACACACCACCAACATTGGAGCATTTATGCCGGGCTCGATTCCTCCTGTGGATAATGGCCAAAAGGGGTCGTGGAATGTTTTAGTAAGCGTGATTCGGTGGTGTTGTTCGATTAAAAGAATCGTGGCGAGAAAGACTCGCGTCCGTGAGTTGCCGAGATACTCTTGAGCCGGAGAAGATTTTTCGCGGGGGATTGTTTGAAACTTTGTGCAGTTGATATAATATATCTTGGCAAAGATCTTGTAGATGTGTTTTGTATATACAGTTAGTAGAATTTAGATGAACTTGAATTGGGTATATATTTGGTTGTGTGAAATTGTGAATCTTTTGATGTGAGAGTGAAGTTTATTAGGGGTGGTGGTTCTGGTTTTGATCAAGGACGCCCTTCTTCTACACAATTGGGTTGGTTGGATTTGATAAATAAATTTGTTTATTTGATATGTTATTTTATAATTTTTTTATTAAAATTAATATAAGATTTTCATAATATATGTCGAATGGATTTCGAATCGTCAAAAGATTATTAATTTGATAATAAAATAAAAAAAAATATTACTTTTAATTAGGTATGAGTTGTACATTCTAATCTCTCAAGAGTAGTGACAAAATAATTCAAATAAAAGGCATTTAATCATGGCTTAATTTGACCCTAACACTTAATCATAATGTTCTTTTCCTAACATGCAGAAGTGACCAAATAATTAAAGCTTCTTTGGAAGTCAATAACTAGCTTAAAATAATATAAAGCAATAATGCAATGTTC